AAATAAAAAATCTTAACCGTTTTTTCCCCTTTTACAAAATGGATACAAGTCATTGCAGCCATGAGTTTCTATGTGTAAGGTTTATTATTTTGGCTTCTCCCATTAATTTGTTGTTGTCCCAAATAATGAAGTCCTAAACAATCTGTCCTTCTCTGAAATATTTTAACAAATGACAAATTCCTACCCTAATATTTTGAGTGTATAAACACACACGTTACATGTGTGTGCACACAAAATCTATGTAATAGACAGTTGTTTTCTATTAGGAAACTTCTACAACACTGACCTTATTCTCATCCAGAGGTTTCTCCTTCACTTACATCAGAATTTGGATAGCTTTCCAGAACTGTATTTCCAGTCCTGCAAGGCAGCTTTACTGAAATATTTTCCTACAGTTACATTCTTACTTTTGAGCAGATTTGGTTTTGTGACTGAAACCAGTCACAGATAATTTTCCTGACAAATATTTTAGAAGTTCTTATATTACATCCTGTCCCCCCCCCAAAAAAAAAAAAAAAAAAATAAAATAAAAACCATAGAAGATCAAAATCAAATTGAAACACTGATTTGTTAAAATTATACCTCCTTTTTATTGGATAAGGATTGCTTTCCACATGCTTTACCACAGAAAGTTTTCAAGTCTTTTGTTCTCATTCCAGTTCAGAAGGAAAAAAATTCTCAGGATCACAGTTTTCTGTTAAATAGAAAACCCGGTTTCTACCTACCTTCACCCTATCCTTTTTATGCAGACCAGTGTTACAAAATGAAACCTTTGAGAGTGTGTCAAACTATGGTTTTCTTCCCTTCATCCTTCATAGAATTATGCAATTATACAAGGTACCTCTTTCAAAATTCACCATTTGGTTTTATAGAGCTTTTTTTTTTTTTTTTTTTTTTTTTTTTTTTTTTTTCCTGGACATTAGTTCCTCATATTTCTGTGGCTTAAATGAGAGTTTATTCAGTTCTGGCTTGAATACTCTGCATGAGTGAAACCCCTTCAGTCATCTGCAAAAATTCTGCTCATGAGCCCACAGCAAAGAGAACAAATGCTGTGTTCATCTGCACACCAACAAAATGAATGGAACATGCTTAATTGCAGAGATTTGTGGCTGTTCTACAAACCTAATCTGCCCCTAGGGCTCCAGGTGTTGCAGCTCATATTTGCCTTGTGGATCTCTAGAACTTCTGGTAACTCTTTGGAGTCAAAGTGTTTAAATTACCAAATTCTCTCATAGCTGTTAAAAACATACTCATTAGAACTTTAGAAGTTGACATGTGCTGTCATGTGTTCACAGAATGCTTTGTATTAAGGAAAAATCTATCACAGAAATGAATAATGTCCTCTTTTATGAAAATAAAATATTGAGAAAGCAGAAAAATTATGTTCTTATTGATGGATCAATACAGTTAACTAAATATGTACAGGTAAAGAAAGATAAAGCTGTGAGCATCCATTGCATTATAACTTCTGGAGTGTTACATAAGGAACTGTAATTAGATTGAGGTAATACATGACAATACTGCAAAAATAGGTCTGTATCATAGAATCACAAAATGGTTTGGGTTGGAAGGGACCCTTAAGGATCATCTAGTTCCAATCCCCCTGCCATGGGCAGGGACACCTCCCTTTTCCTGCTGGCCATGCTGCCTTTCACAGAATCACAGAATCATCTAGGTTGGAAGAGACCTCCAAGATCACGTAGTCCAACCTCTGACCTAACACTAACGAGTCCTCCACTAAGACATATCCCTAAGCTCTACACCTAAACATCTTTTAAAGACCTCCAGGGATGGTGACTCAACCGCTTCCCTGGGCAGCCCATTCCAATGCCTAACAACTCTTTCAGTAAAGAAGATTTTCTAATATCCAACCTAAACCTCCCCTGGTGCAACTTTAGCCCATTTCCCCTCGTCCTATCACCAGGCACATGGGAGAATAGACCAATGCCCACCTCGCTACAGCCTCCTTTAAGGTACATGTAGAGAGCGATAAGGTTGCCCCTAAGCCTCCTCCAGACTGAACAACTCCAGCTCCCTCAGCTGCTCCTCATAAGACTTGTTCTCCAGACCCCTCATCAGCTTTGTTGCCCTTCTCTGGACTCTCTCGAGCACCTCCATGTCCTTCTTGTAGCGAGGGGCCCAAAACTGAACACAGTACTCGAGGTGTGACCTCACCAGAGCCGAGTATAGGGGGACAATCACTTCCCTAGACCTGCTGGCCACACTGTTTCTGATACAAGCCAGGACGCTGTTGGCCTTCTTGGCCACCTGAGCACACTGCTGGCTCATATTCAGCCGACTGTCAACCAATACTCCCAGGTCCTTCTCTGCCAGACAGCTTTCCAGCCACTCATCTCCCAGCCTGTAGCTCTGCTTGGGGTTGTTGAGGCTCTTGGGATTGTTGTGCCCTGCTTTGATGCAGCCCAGGATACAGCTGACTTTCTGGTCTGCAAGCGCACATTACCAGCTCACATCAAGCTTCTCATCAGCCAACACTCTCAGGTCCTTCTCCTCAGAGCTGTTCTCCATCCGTTCTCCACCCAGCATGTATTTGTGCTTAGGATTGCCCCAGCCCAGACGCAGGACCTTGCACTTGGCCTTGTTGAGCCTTATGATGTTCACACAGGCCCACTTCTCCTCCTCCTTCAGGAGTCTCTCCTCCTCCACCAAAACAGAGTCTGCAACTGAGAAAATGATATGGAAAAGGAGGCAAATAGAAGAGAGACAAGGTTTGCTGATGAGACTAAATCCTTCAGGGTATGGTGTTAAATAATTCAACAAAACTAGAACTATCTGCAAAGAGTTGCAGAAGGGCTATGAAACTGAGTTGTCAAAATGACATAGAATAATGTTGGTAAGTATAAAAGGATGCAAGTGGAAAAAAAAAAAAAAAGAAACATTGGTGAGTTGTGAATAGTTGTGAATGACCCATTATCTTTCAGGAGACAGAACATCTGGATTATAATGACAAGAAACAGAGAAAAAAAAGAAAATGAGAAGTAAACCTGTTTATCTGCATTTTGAGTGTTTTCTGTAGTTCATGTGCCCATCTTAAGAGCGATCAAAGGTATGTAACTGCTCTTGTATTAAGACTAAAAAGATTGGGACAATTTATCTGGAAAAGGCCATGGCTGACATTGGATTCAAGAGTAGCCTATAAAATCACAAATGACATAAAGGAGATGAATATTTTCATCTTCACTTCTGTTTACAGTATTTCTCACAATATCAGAAGAAGGGAGGATCATGTGAAATTTTCAAGTGTCTAGTTGAAAACAAAAAAAAATGGGGTATTTTTTCCACAAAAACAAACAAACAAACAAAAAAAGAGCTGAATTGTGGAACCTGTTAACATGAGATCTTGTAGACGCCAAAATGTACATGGATTCAAATAACAATTAGATAAATCAGTAGGATAAAAATCCATGCACTTCTGTTAAGCCTGCAGAATCCATCCTTCAGGAAATTGCTGTGGCACAAACTCCCTGAGGCTACAAGAGCATGTCAGGGAAATGCCTCTGCATGCTTTTTCTGTTCTTGTACTCCTTTGTAGGCATGGGTACTATACATGTACAATGTCAGAGACAGGTTATTGGATCAAATGTGCCTTTGACCTGCCACAGTATGGTTGTTCTTGTTTTGTGTTTGTAATGTGAAGACAATTTATCGTGAATGGATTGAATTGCTTACATGAGCACTGAACAGCAGTTCACTGATGATAAATTGCATCTGTCTGATGCTTCTTTGCTGCTACCTTCTGCCTTCCATTTTTTGATCCATCTTTCTTCTCTCCTAAATAGCCACTAAAACATCATTGTTTCCATGAACTTTCGTTTTGGGTAGCATCATTTACCTGTATTTCTTTGGAATCCAAATTTTTGTAACTCCCTTAAATAGTACTTTCTTGCCTGGCCAGAGTGACAGGTATGGAGACCTACTTTGTTTTTTATAACTAATCTCCAGCACTGTGCAAGTGAGAGTAATTCAGGTAGACCATGCAAGGCAGAACCTGATGCTTTTGTAAGTTGAGTTGAAGTGAAACAGCTTTCAACAACTACTCTTAAGCAGAGAAGGGGAAAACATTCATGAAAACAGTAATAAAGGAAGAAAAGCAGCTGAGGCAGCTGGGATTGTTTAGCTTGGAGAAAAGAAGGTTCAGGGTAGACCTAATTGTACTTTACAGTTACCTTAATGGAGGTTGTAGCAAGGTGGGAATGGGGCTGTTCTCCCAAGTGATAAGACAAGAGAAAATGGTCTCCAGTTGTGCCAGGGGAGGTTTAGGTTGAATATTAGAAGATATTTCTTTACTGAAAAGGTTGTGTGGCACTGGTACAGGCTGCCCAGGGAAGTGGCTGAGTCACCATCCCTGGAGGTCTTCAAGAAACATGTAGACATAGAACTTAGTAACGTGGTTTAGCGGTGGACTTGTCAGTACTAGGTTAAAGGTTGGAGTGGATGATCTTAGAGGTTCTTTCCAACCCAAACGACTCTCTGGCTTAACTATGCAATTTGTCAAGATGAAAGTAAGCACTTTGTGAACATTACATTCTGATTACACTGGGGTTTTCTCTTAAGAAGAGTTCCCAGTTTTCCACTATGACTGCACAGTGTTGCCGGCAGGGCAGCAGCCTGGCTCTCGCCTGCACTGCTGGTTTCCTGCCAGGTGCCTGCACACAGAGATGGAGACCAGGTACCCCCCAGCTGCAGGGAGGAAGAGCAGTGGAGGTGCAGGCCATGCTGAAGTTCATGGCATTGCACCCAGGGCCCCATCCTGAACCAAGCAGCAAGCCCACCCGGCTCGAAACCAAAGGGGCTGTGTGGGCCCCTCCTGGGTTTCTCGCAGCAAGTTGTGGGTGGGGTGGTGGGCTTGGGGGTGAGCCTGTGAGGAGCTGGGGGCTGGCTGACTGCCGAGGGGTGATCTGCGAGGTGCTGCCGTGTCAGGCAGCTGGGAGGCGAGGAGGAGGAGGAGGAAATGACTCAGAGGCTGCAAGCGGCGACTTTCGGAGGGTTCGTGCGGGCAGGGAGGAGGAGGAGGAAGGCGCGCCGGGGAGGACGCGTTGCTCAGCCCCAGCCTCCAGCCTCCAGCCGCGGCGATTTGGGGACGTGCGGCCGGGAGGAGGGAGGGAAGGAGAGAAGGAGGGAAGGAGGGAGGCGAGGCGGGGCGGCCGCAGCCCCTCGCCCCTTTTCCCCGCGGCTGCCGGCGTGCGCGCCGCCCTCGCCCGCTGATGCAATCGGAGTCCGCAAGCGGCGGCAGCAGCAGCCCCGGAGGTGCCCGCGGGAGGATCGGGCGGCCCTGAGCCCGCAGCAGCAGCCGAGGGAGCGCAGGACAGGCGGCAGGCAGCCCGCACCGCCGCGGAGCAGGAGCACCCGCCCCGGCTGCCAGCATGCTCAAGGTAAGCGGAGCCCAAATCCCCTCGTCCATCCTTCCGGGGGATGCGGAGCAGCAGAGGGGCTTTGCCTTGGCAGACAAGGAAAACGGTAGCCGGCCGCTTTGTGTTTACGGATTTTGATGCTATGGTTTGTTATTTAGGCTTGGCGAAGGAGCTTTCCGTCCCCGAGAGGTTTCTTGTTTGAGAAGCAGGATGTGTGTGATTCTGTCTCTTTCCATGTTGTTTCATTGCAGTCAGCATACGTGGAAAAGAAATAATGAGCGGGGAGGGAGAAGGGGGGAAGGGAAGGCATATAATTTCCTCTGGGGTTTTTCTTACAGTTTATTTGTAACATGGGACACTTAATGATTAAAAAGAAAAGAAACTGTCAAGGGTATGGTGTGCTGGTAGGCATCGTGCCTTTTTATGTCTGTGAGTTCGTTATAGGTCTTAGGTCTGCCATTGTACTTAAAATAGACTTTGGGTAAAACCCAGTAATGTACGTTTAGAGTTTCTGAGTAATTTCAGAAATAGCTTTAAGTAGTGAAAGAGGAGTTGCTGGTGGTGAACGCTAACATGAGAGACGAGCATCTGTGGGAACTACCCTTTTACAAGTCATGTTTACGTTCTGCTTAGTGAGGCTGATCTGAGGATTAAAATGAAGTCTTTGCTTGTCAAGACAAAGGGCATGGAGGTAGCAGGGGTGCTTTTCAATTAGATTGAGGGAACATCACAGCAACTTTATACCCTGCGGAACAGTTTCTCTCAGAAACATACTTGGGTTTTGAAGGTCAGTGCAGGGCTGACTGTGAACTTCACAGCTGCAGCCTGATGCCGAAGTTAACAGCTGAGAAATAAAAGACTGAGTTATCTGCTGTCCTTGGTTAACTGTAACAGATGGAATAGGGGCACAACAGGTATGTGCCTGGCAGGTGTCTCCTCAGCTTCTCTGCACTGCTGATAGCAAGTATTGCTCTCATCCCACTTGCGGTCTTGCCACCACTGCTCATTCCTGGGTGGGCACCAGTGGTGCAGTGCTACTGGTGATGGTGGGTCTGGAACAGGCAAGGGCTTTGGAGGGGCCTCACGAGGCCCTGGTGAGTCCCACTGGAAGTTTCTGCAGCTGGGGAGAGCGGCAGACCAATCCTAGTAGAAAGCTGATCTGAAACAGCTCGGGAAAAATACCACGCAGCTTCCCACAGGGAGAGTGCTTTGGGACAGAATGCAAGTGTGTCAAGGAGTGATACAGACTCCCACATTTCATGCTTCTTTTGTTCAATCTGTTGTGTGCCTAGGAAAAAGGGCTTGATCTCCCGAGGTGTTATCCAGTACCCGACAGTAATGCTATGGCAAGCCCCAGTGGAAAACAAGTAGCAAGGCAAACTATAGACATGCTTGCTTGTTCGAAGCAGCACTGATTTCTCAGTGGATTCTTCTCAACTGCACGAAACCTGACTTTACTTTGTATTTTAACTGTAGAAAAGACAGTGTGAAGCAACAGTCGCAGCAGTAGAAGATCTGTGCACTCTTGTCACCCTCATGTGGTGTAGCCTTGGGCAAGTCGGTTCTGTCTGAGCCCTTTACCCTTTATTTGCCTCATCTATTCAGACTGTAAGCTCTTCAGGGTTATGGCTGTCACTATGTATTTGTGCATGTATCAAAGATGCAGAAAATTACCAATATACTCCTGCAAAAAAAACAGTAACTTCATAAAGGTATCAGTAACAACAGCATTATTACAGCCTTGTATCCTTTCATCTCCCCATTCACCATTTCTTGCTTTTAGTCCCAATCTTTCCTTTCCCCTTGAACCATTTCCACCCTCAGCCCTCTCTTTCTGGCCTGTTTGAAGGAATTTTATGTATAAGAAATGAATTGTGCCGCTGGTTTCTGCAGTCCTGCCTTGTCTACCTATTGCACTGATTGTTACTGACAGGCCCAGCTCTCCTAGCGGTGTGTGATCTAGTGGATGTTCTGACTTTTTCCTGTGGAAAGTGAGTATTGAAATCTGCCACAAAGTCATAGGCAAAAAAAGAAGATTACAAAATCGGGAGGTAGCTTTAACACAATTGACATCTTGCTAAACCAGCCAATAGGATATACTTATCCTTGGTTTAATTCGATAGGTGAAAATAATTCAAGTGGAATTCACTAGAGATGAATTTATCCCTTGGAGGCCAATACTAGGAAAGGAGATAAATCAGTTCGTTAATTGCGTAAGCACTCAGTTTGTACTGGAGGAGTCCAGCCATTTTAAAAACAATTTATTCAAGCTGAACATGCTACAGAATCAGAACAGATGTTATTTCTGTAACTCCCTTTTGTTATGCTGCTTGCTTAAATGAATGATCATAACCAAATGTATAGCAAACTGCAGCTTATTAGTAGGCTTGAAGTCAGGACCTTCAGTGCTGATGGAATGAAGGAGCTAAGGGGTTAACTGCTCACAAAATTTGCACAGTTTGCCTTCTTAGGCTATGCGCCTGGGGACTGGCACCTTTATGTCACTTCAGTGACATGTGTACTCTGCAATGTTAGATTGCCTCGTCAGGGACTCTGGGCTTAAACCACTCAATACTGATGTTGGCATCTGACAGTAAATCGTGGCTGCCCAACTGCCATGATGGCTGCAATGCAGGGATCGAATGCATGACCTTTGCCTTGAGTACCTAAATTCTGGTGATCCTTGGGTACAGATCAGAGTAGTACCTGACTGTAATTCACTATTGATAGTCGCTCGCATGCCTGCGACTCAATACTTCCACTTTTTACATTAGCATTAAACGGATGGGTGGTCCCATTTACCTTGGAAACAATTTTATTACTTTATGACTTTATCCATTAAAGGGACAGTCAATATTATCTCATAAAATAGAGCACCTGTTGTAGAAGGGCAATTTAGCAAATATTAACATATGCTATTGCAAATGAAAAAACAGTGTTATGCTTATGGAAAAGCCTAATGTTTCCCTTTCATGTGTGTATTAAATGGTCCAAAAGAGTTGATTTCAATTGTTCGATTCATGTTATCTTTAAAACAATCAAGAAGTTCTACCCATATGGCCTGTGCATCTTGGCCCATATCTTATTATTGTTTCTGCAAACTAATGTCATAATAACCTGCAACAGAGTTACTCGTTTACTTTTCTTCCCTTGAGGTCTGCCGTTTGTTCCAAGCTTTATTTTAGGGAACACCTGAAGAGCACCATATGACTTCTTAGCAGTTACACAGTTATTGCTAATTCAGTTTGCCTATTAGAGCATTTTGTACACCACTTGATAAAAGCACACATTGTAAGCACAGAAAACAGATTGTTTTCCCTGGTAAATGAGTAGGGCTTAATTCAGCAAGGTGCTGATTTTACTCATTTCCACTAGCGTTCAGAGAGATCAGTGGCACATGAGCCATGTCCACTTGTTTAATTTTTAGATTGTTGTCTTAGTTTCATCACTTCTGTAATAAATGCTTGAATTTGGATTATCCTTACCAAGAATTAACTTTCTTAAACTTGGGCATCAAGGAACTGAGAGAACTGGACTTCTTCAGAAGAGGAGGCTTTGGGGGGACCTAATAACAGCCTTCCAAAATCTCAATGAAAATCAAGGAGACAGGTGCAGGCTCAGCAATGATACATGGCAGGAGGAATAGAGACTCCAGCATAAACTGAAACAGAAGAATCTCAGACTGGATATGAGGAATGACAGTCAGGCAGTGGGATGGGTTGCTGAGGGAATCTCTATGGTCTCTTTCCCTGTGGGCTTTCAAGACCCAAATGGATATAGCCCTGAGAAACCTGGTCCGAGCTCAGAGCTGACACCATTTTTAACAGGAGGTTGGGCTAGAGACCTCTACAGCTTGGGTCTTTCTGTGATCCTCGACTCTGCAGTGAGTTCCCCAGTAGAAAAGCTTCTGAACTGAGATAAATTTTTAATCTGGTCTTAGTCTTTGACATAGTAGTGCAGATTGGTACATGTCTGTTGAGGACTTGCTAGCCTTTTAACAGTCTGCAAAGAACTCTGTGCAAAGATAGTTCTCAGAGTCACGACACTAGACAGATTTCTTTTTGAAAGATCACTTCTTTATCATGTTGATGTGGTAGTAATACCTTGTTCTTCTCTAGTGTCTCCCCCCCCCAAAAAAAAAAAGATTGAACAGTAATGTTGGCAAGTCTTTTGACAAGTATGTTACTTTATTTGGGGCTTTTTTTTTTTTTTTTTTTCCTTCCAGGAGTCTTATCATTTTAATTGCGTCATTAGGATCCATGGTAGAGTTTATTAATGGTCTGTCAGTGAAGAAGACTGTACCTCTCCCCTATACTCACAACATCTTCCCTTGAAGTAGCATACTTTTTTTCCCCATTTGCATTAGAGTGTCAACGTAGTACTTTTTCTCTACAAGCAGAATAAGTTCTGAATTTTTTTTTCTTACAATGTATTTTAAAAATAATTCTTTAAACAAGGACCATTGTACTAGTAGGAACTGGCCATAGGAAGGGAAGAGGTATGTCATAATTTCCAGTAGCATACAGTGAGTGACTACACAGGCACAATTTCTGCTACAGCTGTACAGATGCATGCAAACAGAAAAAAAATTACACTGTATTCACATGCTTATATATTTGAGGCACTTGTCTGCCACAAGCTTTCTAAACTAATAGATATGCCAGTAACCTATTTTATATGTACATGAGAACTAAATTGCAGACTCTGCCTTAAACTGGATTAACTGTCTTTAGATAGAGAAGTGCAGTTTGGGAGACAAACAAAAGTAGCTTTCACATGCTGGGAAGTGTCTTATTTCTGTAACCATAAGGGAAGTCCATTTGGTTCTTCAGCTTTATTGGGCTCAGTTCACTTGTACTTCTTTCCATAACCTTCTAACTTTTTCTAAATATGTGCTTGTTTCTAAATCTGATCCTGTGCTATGTCCCAGTCCATTCTATGGCCATGGAATAAAAGACAACTTCTGTAGCCAACGCTTTTTTAAATTGACAAGGGTCTGTACCATTAGAGGATTTGAACAT